GCTCTACTCACCTTGAAGAATGGTGTCTGGCTTGTCTTGAGCAGGTGTGGCATAGTAGATGGCAGATGTGGAGAAGGGTGTTTGGACATTTGTTGACTGAATCTCCTTTGGCATCATCACCATCTCTGGTTGCAAGGCAGAGGCCTGACCCCCAGAGGAGGACACAGAGCCACAGGCCTGCAGGCACTGCCCAAGTTCTCCAGGCATCAGTGGGCCCAGGCTGTTGAATTCATTGTAATAGACCTGGCTTTCCTCCAGGTAGGAAGGTGCTAGGCTGTATCCCTGATTTGGTACCTGTGGTGGTGTGGCCTGAAAAAAGCTGGCAGAAAGTATTGGATAGGAGAGGACTAAGGCATTGGGATCTAAAATATTATCACCCTGGGCTGTCCTAGAGAAGGAGGAGAATGTGGTATTCTGATCAATGACAGTTACAGTGAAGTCCTGGAGTGCAGCTCCCCTCTGGTCAGTGTTTCCCATGGGACCACACTGCAGAACACCTGGATAGGAGAGTGGTGAGGCAGTGATCTGGCCCTGGTCAGTCAATGCAGTCACCATGGTTGTGCCAACTGGTAGGTAGGGGTAGGCACTGTCCACGAGCTGCTGGCAACAAGTGCTGGAGTCTGATGGCAGGAGCCATGCTGCACTCACAGCTGGAATAGAGACCCTGGAGAAGTTGCACACACTTCCTGCTAAGGGCATGGCATTCCTCAGCCCAGGCACAGAGGGCTGCAGAACACATTCTTTTCCAAAGAAAGGTGCACTTTGGAAATTTTCTGTAGGAAGCAAGAGGAAAATTGGAAGAGGGTGAGATGGAATCTGTGTGTCTTCCCTTGAAGATCTTTGTTATCTCCCATTTGTACAGTCTGGGAGATTCTGAGACCCATTTTCCCTCACATATCCCACACAAATGGTTCAGAATGATTCTTGGTAAAGGATAGGATGGCACTCATTTAGTGAGCTGCCTGTTCTTCCTGTGCTGGCATGGACTTCCTAGTTGATCCACGTTGACTCTTGCTCTAACCTAGACAACAGCCTTCTTTGCCCTGCTTTGTCTTGTTCTGATTCCTGCTGTGGCACTGCCTCACACCTGTGTCCCAGAACAGAAGTGTTTAAAGTAGGAGAACCTTAGACAGCTTCTCATGCCTGTGCCTTTGTTCTGTTCTGTGTAGACCTTCCTCAATGTAGACAGAGAAAGAGTCTCTACCTAGATCAGTCTGGCCTTGAAATCACACAGACTGGCCTGTCTCTGCATCAGAGTGCTGGCATGGTAGGTTCCTTCCATGTCCACCAGGCTTGGTTCTACTCTGAGCTTTCTTTTTTTTTGGTGATATATATTTTTAATTTTACAATACCCTTCAGTTCTACATATCAGCCATGGGTTCCCCTATTCTCCCCCCTCCCACACCCTCCCCTTACCCCCAGCACACCCTCCATTCCCACCTCCTCCAAGACAAGTCCTCCCCCAAGGACTGTGATCAACTTGGTAGACTCAGTCCAGGGAGGTCCAGTCCCTTCCTCCCAGACTAAGCCAAGTGTCCCTGCAAAAGTTCCTGGTTTCAAACAGCCAACTCATGGAATGAGCACAGGACTTGGTCCCACTGCCTAGATGCCTCCCAAACTGATCAAGCCAATCAACTGTCTGAGCTTTCTTAATGAAATGATGGACCAGGACTTTCATAGATAAGAACTGTATTTAGCTAAGAATCCCTTGTCTTCTAGCTCCTTCTGTTCCCCACTAATTTTTATGTAAGTCACTACTTGTTATTTTTTAATATAAATTCAGCACACATCCAATATGACTACATGAATACAACCTGCTGATAATATTTCATGTTGAGTGCCTATGTTTCAAGTGACAGTTTGGGATTTCTAATGTAGCATGGGGTTCATCTCTGAATAAGATTGTTTCTTAATTAAAAGTTGGTTACATGGATTCTTCAATGAACACTTCCACAGTAATTGTTAATTTCTAGTAACTCTCCTAGTTGGGAATCCTTGTGAGAATCCGTGCACACACTGGTGTGTGAGTTCTTGTCCAGAGAACAGCTGACTGTGGAGTAGTCAGCCCATGTTGATAACATCCAAACCTACCAAAAGATGAGGAGAATGCTGTAGAAGATGGGCTGGATAGAGGGTAAGATCCAGGGACTAGAGCTGGACATTGTTTTCTATATGTGACAGGAAACCTTTACCTAGACTAATCTCAACAGTGTGGCTGCCTAATAATGGGTTGGGATATGAAAATTTCTTGTGCCTTTTTATTTACTCTGTGGTTATCTGTAACATTAGTT